GACCAACATCGCGGTGGATTTGGTTATCATGTACATCCTTAACCCTCAATTTTTTTGAGCGACGTCGCGGTCTAGACAAATATAGCTTTGGTTTTCAACGGGGAAGAAAAAAAAATTGTCAAAAAATAACCAGATATTGAAAATTATGACAAAATAAATATACATGAATGTGACTGTGGCTGCCTTTACTATACGAAGGAGTATCTCCTGCTTATACCTGTTCAATTGTTGTTATTTACAAGGCATTCCGATGCCAACTAACACTTGAAATAATTTGCCAATGTCCAACAAACTTCACTTTTATTCACCAACTCCAACAATGGTGTAAACGTCATTGTTGTACCTTCGGTAAACCCTTAGATGACAATCTGTAATGAGCATATACAAACACACAATACTAAACAAATGTTTCAGCCTGTAAACATATAAAAACCCTGTAGCTAAATTAGTAATGTACTGATACACCTTAATATAGATTATTTAGTATATGATACAAGAATAAAGTTAAACTGTATTATCTCTATGTGAATTCGACCTACATTGCAACTATGCAGTAAACTATTGAACGATACAAATATCATAATGTAAACAGGGTCACATTTCAATGTAGTCCGTCACTTAAGTTCCTATGCTAAATAAATAAGAAGGCAAATTGTTTCTTTCCTAAAAACATATTTTTTCTCTAAATTCAACATAAACTATAATAAACAAGTAATCATTTATATCGTTGCCGAATATTTGCTACTCTGAAAAACTAATAACAATGATAACGCTAACAACTTATTTTTCAACTCTCCTCAAAACTCAACCTTCTCTTTAAGTTCGTATGCTAAATAATTAAGAAAGCAAATTGTTTGTTGCCTAAATACATACGTTGGCTCTAAATTCGACATGAACTATAATAAACAAATAATCGTTTAGACATTTACATCGTTGCAGAATATTCGCTACTCTGAAAAACTAAAATATAAAACAATTTCTGCTGTCACGGACACGCAAACAATTTAAGTTTTCTACAATATACATTATACACACTGGTATGATAACTCATCTCTTTATCTATATACTCCTAAAAGGTTCAACATCTAGCATCATCTTCACGAAACTCGTATTAAGTTTTACCAATATTTACATCGTACCCTGATGTATTACTTCGACAATCAGAATGACTGGAATATTCTCCTCCAAGAACAAAGGACTTTCTGACGTCGTGACTCAAGGTATAATCTTAAAGTAAACATATAGGCCCCAAGATGCTGGTATTCATATAATTGAACGGTTCAAAACTAGTTTGAAATGTATATTTCTTTAATACATCCTGATGAAGTGAGATTGACTTCATATTACCTCATGAAAATTCAATATCTGTTTAAAATGTTAACAAATTTAGGTTCAGGACTTCCTAAATTAACCTCATTTTCCTATATGCATAATTTTGTTTTAGGATTGTGCGTGCGTGTGTATGTGTGTACGTGCAACAAATATCGGCGCCAGATTGTAATCACCTCACACCAACCACCCTCCCCCTCCTAAATCACACAGACATATATGAGGTGACAGTGACTTTATATTACTTCGTGATAATTACTCTTTAATATCTGTTGTAAGTATTAAAAAATATCGGTTCAGGACTTCCTAAACTGAGTTCATTTTCCTTATATGCATTTTTTTTTTAATCTGACATAATTTATTTTGGGATTGTGCGTGCGTGTGTATGTGTGTACGTGCAAAAAATGGGCTGGATTTTAATCATCTCGCCAACATCCTCCCCCTCCCCCCCCCCCCCTCCCCTCACATCACATGGACACATACACGCACACTCCTCAGAAAGGTTTACGCTACTGGATGTTTCAGGTATACAGCGTAATTAACGTCAAGGGGTTAGTCTACCGCCAGAGTGCAGGGGTTTATGACTGGATTGTGACGTAGTAGAGACCAGGGGAAAGTACGTGCCAACCATGATCTTTAATTGAAAACTATTCTTCATGGGGAGGGGGGGGGGTGATCTATTAATTATTTTCAAATAGGTATGAAGTAATGATCGTCGCCACTAGTACCAGCCCCTTCTGATGGCGAATTGTATACTGCGTAGTATTGTTCATCGTCGTTGATCTCATTGCATGCGTTGTCCGCTGGTATGGCTGGAAGCTGACCGCGCGGTAATTGCTGTAGATTGATACCCACTCTTTGCGGCGATGAGGTCTCTCTTTTTTCTTTTCCAATAGGTACTAAGTAATGATCGGCGCCACTGGTACCAGCCCCTTCTGATGGCGGATTGTATACTGCGTAGTATTGTTCATCGTCGTTGATTTCGTTGCATGCGTTGTCCGCTGGTATGGCTGGAAGCTGAGCGCGCAGTAATTGCTGTAGATCGATACCCAATCTTTGCGGCGATGAGGTCTCTCTTTTTTGTACCTGTAAAAGAGTTAGAAAGTTCAAGCAATCAACCTAATGCAGGATAAACAATTCAGAATATACTGTAGCCATTCTCTCGACAAACGATGCCAATACTAGAGCACAAGATTAGCTATAATGTTTGCATGTAGGTCACAAACTAAGGAATTCGTTTGTAGGGCTCTAGTTTCTAATGTAAGTATATTAGCTTCATAGATTTTTAAATAGTATCCGGTTACACATCGCCCTATGATGGCTTAAGTTTAATGAGAATGAGAATAATAATATGAATAATAACAATCAGGATAATAATATCTTTATTAATTATACTCACTTGTAAACAAAGAATGCCAGGAACATGAGAACGACCACTACTACGGCCGATACAAGAAGTGCAATTACAGTAATCACAAATTTCCTTACGGCACCTTGAAAGAAAATAAACGAAACCAAAAGAAAATCAAAGTCTTTAGTTTGCATTAGGAATAAAGCGATTGTTATAACTAAGGTGACGAAGTCATCTTACTTTCCTTAACCCTTACTGTACTAGGGGGGGGGGCCTGGGAGGCCCCCCACCCCCCTCGACATTTTCGGAGATTGCGCTGCAACCGCTTGAAATTTTGAATTGTCGTTTCATGACTTTTTTTCCTCAAGTCTTAGGCACATTTTGATACCATTTTCGTCGAAATCGGATATACCTGTAAGGCGTTACATAACAATTAGTATGCGCTTGTCATCCAAAAAACAACAAAAAATTAAAACGCATCAAAATTTCTATAAATTATCATTATTAATTACATTAAAATAACTTGTTTGTGTTAGAAAAGAAGTTTCATATGAATATTGAGTTTCAACATTCAAAAAGTGGAGTTTGACACGTTTTCTGTAAAATGCATGAAATTAGCATTTTGCATAATTAATTAGGCTAACGACAAAAATTTGCATATTCGGAAAAAACTAATTATACCATCTTGTTCCTTACGTAAATATCTACAAACATGCAAATTTTCGTGTTCATCGGACAATCAATGGCCGAGATCATAGGGGGGGGGGGCTCCCAGGCCCCCCCCCCCCCCAGTCAGTGGGTGCTCAAAATAGCCCAGTACAGTGTTAAAGGCAGGGTATTTTACCGACATTGCTACCGCTGCTGTATTTCCGTGAAGGCAATCATAGCGCGATTTTCGGTTCCTGCATGATCCCAAGCATCATCACGCGCGTGTCATGCCCTTGGTGATGCACTGCAGGATATAACTACGACACATCAGGACATTGTGAACAACAGATGGCAGTATACGTGAATCTGAATCATTATTAGTAGAATACTCTGACTTTAAAATATATGTATCTATAAGAGGCATTTTCCTTTTCTGACATAAACATATCCCAATGGTTAAATTGCCCGAACATAACAAACAGTCCTTAGAAATATTTGAAAGAGGCCGATTCAAAAACTGAATAGAGTTTTCGAATGTGCAAACATCCAGTATTTCAATGTCACGTCATTCACGAGGCACATTCTTTAAAAAATATGTACTCTTCATTTTATCTTTCTTGTATCCTGTATCTTTATCTTTGAATTAATAAAATTCATCGGGTTTAGCGGCGGCTTTGAATATTTGCAGTTATTATTACCCCACCAAAAATTCCAGGTTCCCATTTACCTCACCAGGGCGGAGAGTAACTACGGATTAGACTCTTACCAAAATGAAATTAATGCAGGACTGGAATTCGAACCCTAAACCTTTGAATTGAGAGTCAAGTGACTTAACCACTGTATTACTACACTGGGGTTTAGGCTGTATGTATCTATCGCACGAAGCCGTTATAGGATGAGTGCAATAGATACACACAGCATCAACGAGGGCGGATAGATCGTATAATGAACGGATGAAAACATGCATCATTTGTTTTATACAACGAAACTCCTAGATCTTTGTGATTTGATGTAAAAATAATTTTTCTCAATGCAATCCAATACCAAAGTCGCAATTTTCGCCCGTGAATCCGTCCATACATTCGCACCAATAGTCAATCTCAGGGAGAGCATGGCAAGTCCCGTATAGACAATGAGCATCCAGACACGGGTTTACTGAAAGAAAAAACAAACTGTTGCGATCGTAGAGTTATTTTGATACGGCAATGTTATTACTAGGCTATAATATCTATATATATATATCAAATGCACAGGGGGATATTTTTTTCGTTTGTGTTGAAATCTGTGCTATTCGAGACTGTAGGGAAAATTAGCCCCGAAAGGCTGAAATGGTCATGGTTTATTTTAGAGGGGGTGGCTCAACGAACCTGAGTCTCCCCTACGTCACTTGACCCTGGGACAATGGCCCAGTATGATCGCGATTAGGCCTACTTTGGTTCTTACCAGTGTTAACATCCAATGGACTCGATGTAGTAGTAGTAGTCAGGGGCGTCGCTAGACCTTTTTCAGTGGGGGGGGGGGGGGGGTTAGAGGCCAACGATTACCGACAAAACTAGCCACCAATTACCGACAAAATTAAAATGTCCAATATCTACAAATTCAACCCCATAAACCTGGGGCCGAAGGCTAAATTGTTTTTCCTATGGACTATCTATATAGTACTTGCATATTAGACTGTGGGATGACCACTGAAATTGTGAATTTCCGTGGGGCGGCAAATGCAACCACGCTTCTTTGATATGATAATATGTAAAATAATAAACAAAAGTAAATTAGAGATGTTGCCAATCTTGAAGCGCACATTTTAACTCACAATTTAATAAAATATTACGAGAAATTGTACTATAGAATTCAATGAAAAGGCCGATATTCACCGCGTGCGTTAGAGATTTTCACGACGTCCGCAATAGCGTGCGATAGCATACGGGCTGCTCAGCCTCGTTCGCGCTATCTATTTTTTTTTTTACACTGCATTCGTACACACACGTGTACGTGCAGAATCCACAATAACAAAGATGGATGTGACTTCGTCTTCATCGGATTCCGACAACGAAGATGACATTGTATCACCGTCGCCTGCCTGCTGCATGCATGTTGTACCCCATGGAAAAGGGAAAGTTTCATTTTTTCATGAGAAAAGCTGGTCTAAATTCAAGGATTGCTGTGTTCGATGGAGTCGAGTTGAAAGTGCCGAAACAAAGGTAGCTATTCGTGCTGCGGAGAAGTTTGGGATTGACCTGCACGGGCAGGAGCCTCACCGGCAGCAAGATCAGGATCACCATGAAAGTTCACCTTTTCCCACTCAAGCCTCGTAGCATCGTAGGTGCTACCAGCATTTTTGCAATGTTGGAAAACTTGTCAGGGCAGAGATTAGAATGGAAAAACGAAAAGCTGAAGGTAGGTTCAATTTTAACTTCAGATTTCAGAGTTTGAATAGGCCTAGTCTACAACTCAAATTAAAACAGGTCAAAGTCAAACTTCATTATATGAACATGTCAATGGCTCAAACTCAACAAAAGTCAAAGAAAGTTGAACCCCCACCGCCATGACTGCCAACTAGTATAGTAGTAGTAGATGTAGTAGTAGTATACTAGTAGTAGTAGTAGTAGTAGTAGTAGTAGATCTAGTAGTAGACTGATATCTGGATATGGGCAGCCAGGGCAGGACTTATTTTGCATAAATCCAAGCCGGTTAATGCTGGTAACTTTTAATTATCTAGTCAGGTAACTAACTAAACGGTAGATCTGCATGCTGCTACCATCTTTGGTGGTTATTATTATGTTATGATGCATTTCGTGGTCACAGGCAGTGGATATATGCAGCCATAATGCAGTATAAACGGCCATTAATAATTAGGGTCTATGCGAGAAAACTGTAGATCTAGATTCAAATTTATTATACAAATTTTACCATTACAATTTCTTTTTCTTTTCCAGATGCAGATGTGGAATCGGCTGAAGAAGGCAGTCTTCATTCTGCACCTCCAAGAAAGATGCTGCGATCGAGTCTTTCCCCTACGAAAGGTCGGCATGTCCTGCCAGCAGAATGCATTGTATGCAGAAAGATTCAATGGAAGACTAGTAAACTTACAGGCAAGAGATTCAAGGTCCCCGTTTCTAGGTGCGAACAGGTTTCAGCTACAAAGTTCCTGAAGGCAGCTGAGATGCGGCAACACACCCGCATCCTCATGCAGATCCGCGGAAAGGATATGGTAGCTATAGAGCTACAATATCACAAAAGTTGTTACCAGGACTTCACCTCCTGTCTGCGCCGAGCAGAGAGAGCTGCCACAAGTACCGACACTGATGATCTCTTCACTCCCACTTACAACTGTTTGTGTGATCTGATAAGGAGGAGGATTGTGAAAGACAAAGAGGTGCTCAGACTCAAGGACTTGCATCGTTCCTTCGTTAAGGCAGGTTTGAGAAATGAAGGAGTGGACTTGTCATCATACCAGACCAAGAAACTGAAACAGCGACTACAAGTAACATTCCCTCAGCTCATATTCGTGTCCCCGCAGAGACAGAATGAAAGTGAGATTGTGATGGTTGGTGACATGGAGGCATCATCACTTGCTGAGCACGCTGTACAGCAAGATCAAGCAACTAGCACTTCATTCAGTGAAGAGTCTGCCTCAGATGAAGAATCAGCTGCCATGTCCAGATCATCAACAAACCCAGGGCCCCAACAACTATTAATGCTCTACCATGCATCCCAGGTATTTTAAGACTTTTATTTCATAAATTTAGTTCTCAATTATTTGAGAGTGTATTCTCATTATTTTACTGTTCATTGTAATTGCTACTCAAGTTTTTTCAAATTTGTTATATAGTGAAAACATATGTATATATTTTACTTTTGGTTGGGGGGGGGGGGGGCTGCTCCTTTCAGTTGGTGTTTATCTTCTTTTCTTCTTTTTTTATCTAACAGCTATATTGTTATCAATTTGTACACTGGATATTACATACATAACAACCTCTAATTATTTTGGTGTTTCTTTCAAAACTACTTTTTATTTTTTGTATTTCATGTACATTATTTTATTTTATATATGTTTTTATTTCCATTAGTAATTTTTTTCCCTCTTGTCTTTTGTTAACACAGATCCTGAAAGCTGCTGTCAAAACTGCCTGTACCAGATGTAAGGAGCAAGAGCAGTGGCCCCCAACATCACCTGACCTGACCCCAGAAGCAGCTAAAGAAGCAATCCCTTCCATACTGTTCAACTTTCTCTCCTGGGTTGTAAACTCGACTAATGAGCCAGAGGTCAATAAGCTTGTAGATGTAAGTGTAGAGGATGAAAGAAAGTTATTATCTATGTGTCAGGATGTTATGTACATGTCTTGTAAAGGTAGTATAATTCTCCCCAAACATTCTTCTTTAGCCATGACCGTGAGACACATGACCGGCTCTGCAAGGCTGATTGGAATACTCAATGGGTTTGGGCATTGTAGCAGTCATTCCATGGTACTTGAGCATGACACTGCACTTGCAGAACAGCAGCTGAATAGAGGTGAAGATGTGCTCCCTGAAGGTGTCAAGCCATGCCTTACAACTTTGGTGTGGGACAACAACGACTTCTCTGAGGAAACTCTATCAGGAAAAGGCACGACCCACATAACAACAGGCATCCTCATTCAGCATCAAAAGCATGTCCCTGTTCCTGATCAAGATCAAGATAATCAAACGCACAAGCAGAGCCTACCAAGAACACACAAGAGATCCATCAAAACACCCACAGCAGACTTGACCCCATACTTCGGAATGCTAAAGAATGGGCCTGAACCATTTGGACAGCATATTGCTGTAAAGGAGGAAGTCTATCATGATATCCAGGAGAAGCCAAGGAAACTGGATTCTGCATTTAGGCTGTCAAGGATACCTCATCGTTTCGGTAGCCTATTACCAAGCTGGACAGGTTACAACACACAACTAAGCTGTTCCACAAATTTGGCGTCCAACATCTTCTATCTCCCATCCATTGATGCCTCCCCAACTCAAAAGGATACGATCAATACCATACTTCACAAGAGTGTGAAGATAGGCACAATTTTGCAACAGGATACAGTGGTGATAGTATGTGACCAAGCCATCTACAGTAAGGCTCAGCAGATAAGATGGAAGGATCCACACCTCTCTGCAAGGACTGTTGTAAGAATGGGAGATTTTCATACTACCATGAACTTTCTTGCATGCATTGGTAAACGGTTTAAGGATGGCGGTCTGCAAGACATCATAATTGAAAGTGGCCTTATTGCAACAGGTTCAGTGAATGGTGTGTTGTCAGGACATCATTTCAACAGGAGTCTTCGCGCACATAAGCTTCTCTGTGAAGCTATGGAACGCCTGCGATGGCTCAGTTTCATGAAGACTCTTCCTGATGAGCAGCAGGAGGAAGCATCTGACGTTCTCTTGAAGATGCATACAACTTTCCCGTCTTCAGATCACAGGAAAGTGATTGAGGGTGAACAGTTTGAGGCCCTGCTTGATGAGTACTCCCTCTTCATTGAGACTCAGTCCTCAAGACCCACTTTTGCATTCTGGTCCTCTTACATCGAGATGGTTGAGTCATTGCTTCTTTTCAACAGAGCAACAAAGGAGGGCAATTGGCCTCTGCACTTGTCTGCAGCCCGAAGTCTTCTCCCTTGGTTTTTTGCTTATGACCATTTGAACTATTCTCGGTATATGTCTGCATACTGGCTTGAGATGCACATGCTGCCCGTGACTCATCCTTCAATAGCTGAAGCATTTCTTGAAGGTGATTTTGTGGTTCACCGCCAAACTGCCCACGGCTTTTCAGGAATAGCAGGTGATCAGATGATAGAACAGACTGTCAACAGGGATACCAAGTCAAGAGGAGGAGTCATTGGATATAGTACCAGTCGGAGCTATTTCCATCGATGGCTGCTTTCACATCACCTTAAAGCTGCCATTCAGCGGCAGTGTGAAGAATTGGCTGGGAAGTCGCCTTCTTCAACAGAGTTGAAAGATCTGCAAGCCTCCCGTGTGAAGAAGGACAATAGTGACATACAAGCCATCTGTGACACTATACATAGTATGGTCAATCCATTTGAGAACCAAGGAAACGATCTTCTCCACATTTCATCTGGGGTCATTGCAAGTGATGCATTGAAGAACGACCTCCTTCAGGCAAAGTCTTTGGGACAGGCTGCTGCGGAAGTGTTCATAACAGAACGTCTACAGCAAGGGTCTACAGAATTCCATGCACCTTTGAAGCAGCAGCAGCTCAAGACTTTCTCCAAAGCAACATCCAAGCCATCAAAAGGAAAGGTTTCTCAAGGATTGTTAAAACAAGATCGGAGTTTATTTGCCAGGCTAGCAATAGTTTCAAAAGACAGGAAGCTTGACCTGAAGGAGCTGATGGTATACAATCTCAATGAAAGTCCCTTGGCATTGTCAAATGGATGTGGGGGGATGGTGAAAACCAATAAAGCAAGCCTGATGCGACACCTAGAATCTTCAGTTCAGCCTTCACCAGTTCTCGAGTCCATTCCGAAACATGTGGTGTGGGTTGTGGATGGAATGGCTCTCATCCAGGAGCTTTCGAGTAGGATAAACTCACTGTCAACATTTGGGGATTTGGCAACATGCATTCTTGATAAGGTTGTAACTTTGGCCACGAACATGTATTCGGATACTGTTCATCTTGTAACAGATCGATATCCGCCCGTATCCATCAAGAATGCTGAAAGGGGGGCAAGAGCATCTGGAGGAATGCAACGGATAACGATTTTCAGTGTGGACCAAGCCATCCCTTCTCAGTGGAAGAAATATATGACACACAGTCAAAACAAGGAAGAACTTGTACAATTCTTATTTCAGACTTGGTCCAACACCCACCCAGATAAGTTCAGAAATGTCAAAGTGTTCTTTGCACATGCGTCACAATGCCATGCCTTTTACAGCACATCTGGTAAGCTTGTAGTGGAGGAAGTACCAGAATTGACTGCAGATCATGAAGAAGCTGATACCAGACTTCTTCTCCACTGTGAATATGCATCACAGCACCAGGCATCAAGCTCCCAAGTAACCAGCTCAGTCATCATTAGAAGTCCTGATACCGATGTTTTTGTTGTGGCTGTAGGTCTTTCAGGTGTAATGAACAGCAGAGTTCTCTTTCACACTGGTAGGGGGAACTTGTCTCGTACAATCGATGTAACAGCAGTCCATAATCATTATGGCAAAGATGTTTCTGAAGCTCTCATTGGCTTGCATATCTTCACTGGCTGTGATTCCGTCAGTGCATTTTACGGCAAAGGGAAATCGAAAGCTCTGAAATTGATGCTTTCTGATGAAGAATATCAATCCACATTCAAAAGTTTGGGCCAGTCTTTTGATGTGTCTCCACAGTTGAGTAAAGGACTTGAGCAATTCGTCTGCAGTCTCTACTCGGGAAAGCAGGGTTTGGATGATGTGAATTTGCTTAGGTACAACATGTTCCGGATGGATTGCAAGTTTGAATCATCGCTTCCTCCGAATCAAGACTCTCTTCTGTTACACATTAGAAGAGCAAACTATCAAGCTGCAATTCACAGAAGATCACTCCAGCAATTTATCGGGGAAGGAAACCCGACAGAGCACGGCTGGGTTATGGAGAATGGAGAGTTGGTCATCAAGTGGAGCACTTTGCCACCGGCTCCCAACCACCTTACCGCTGCAGTCAAGTGTAAATGCAAAAAGGGAAAATGCCACACTAAGCAATGTGAGTGCGTAAAAAACAAGATCACTTGTACGGATCTGTGTAAGTGTATAGAATGTACCAATCAAGCTGCAGAAAAAGATGCAGAAGATGATTTCGGAGATGATGATCTCTCTGACTGGGAATAGGCATTTGGGTGTGAAGGTGCCATGAATAAACTAATGATTTGAGGAGCAGTCAAGTTGTATTCATGAGTTCAGTAAAGGGAATGATCACCATGTAAAAATTCAAATGAAATGAAGTCATCAATCAAGTTATTTCTTCTTCAAATTTAATGCAAGAAGTGAATAACATTTATCTTTCCTGGAAATTGTCAAGGAATGATATTAGTTTTAGTGTTACATTTTGCAATGTTAAATTATGATACATAAAACATGTAAGAAGGCTTACACATGTACATTCCCAGCAAAGACTGATTGTATTTTGATTCTGAAACATCTAATATACTGTTTGTGCAATCTTCCTAAATTGTGTCAGTGTACATGTATATGATTGAAATACAAAACTTAACAATATTTGGTATTCTAAAGATGCAAGAAAGAAAAAAAGAAAAGAAAACAATATCTTGGAGATTAAACTTGTAATTTCTTGTATAGTATTATATTATCTGATGTTGTGCAGTTTCATCCTGTTCTAGTAGAAAAGTCGTGCTACGAGTGTTTTTTTTTGACAGAGCAGAAAGGTTTTATTTGGTTTTTTATCATGAATATGGTTACCTACATGTACTACATGTATTTACATAACTATCAGTCATTAGTGAAGTTGATGAAAGAGTTTTAAGAGTGAAATTCTAATTTTAGAATATCACAAGAAGACGACAAATCCTTGAAGATTTAGCTCATACAATTATTTTGTTAATATTTTTGTATAGTTATATATCAATATGAGCTATCGTGCGCAGAGTGTCGTCCTGTTCCAGTTTTAAAGTTTAGCCTTAGTTTTGGTTATTTCTTTTTCTTTTCCTTTGACAGAGCTCTGATACTGTTCTAGGAAGTAGAATATTTAGTACTTCATGTTTATTGTCATCCTTTACAAGTACAGTAAAGTATAGTATGTGTCTTATAAAATGCAGGATGCTTTTCAATGGAATATGTGTAGTGACTAAAATACTGCAAAATGATATTTTAGAGAAGTCATTCAGATTGGCTTACTAGTATTCTGTTTGCTATAAGAAGAAATTTTGTCTTTTCATTGTTTATCACAACTATGATTATGGACATTACTGTCATTTAGTGAAGTCGGTGAAAGCATTTTAAGAGTGAAATGCCTCAATGAAGATGAGATATTTTTTATTTTCATTACAAATACAAATGTATGATATTATAAACCAGTCACACATTGCACAAAGAGCCCCATGGCTGTAAAGTACATTAATTATATAGTGATCCTTTAAATACTACTTTTAAAATATTTAAAGATGTTAAGTGGTTTTTTTCTTAATGATAAACATGTAATTTAAATTTTGATCTAATTAGAAAACATTAATCCTGTGTCATTATGATGTCAAGCTAATATATTAGTAGAATTCTACAAGCGTAAATATGCCATTTAAACATGGTCTCATTTTTGCTCTCGTTCTTCCATTCTACAAATAAGTGAAGCATTTTGGAATTTAATGATATGAATATACTGTAAGATGCTTATCGATCATTTAAATTACTTAAGATACCGGTGAAGTTGTTGTTTCAAAGAAATCAGTATGTAGGTGTATCATCTCATTATACTTACAAACCATCATACGGTGATAGAAGAAATTAAAGTTCATGTACATACTGGAGTCATAAAACCCAAGATTAAAGAAATGCAATGTACCTATTTACATAATGGTTTATCATGAATTACATGTACATCATTATAGTATATAATTTGAAGTCATCAATCAAATTTATATAAAAGTTGAATGAACCAAAATCATGTGTCAAAATGTTTATTTCAATGTACTTTAAGGAGAAACCCCCAAATGGCAATGGTGAAATGTATGTATGTGGCTGTGATGAATGATAAACACCTATGTTTTGTGCATTTAGATATGAGTGTGCGTGTTGGGATGATTGGTGAACAGTGGCGAACGAGCGTGAGTCCAGTTAGACAACTAGGCCATAAAGTAATTGGGGGGGGGGGGGGTGTCATGTTATGTTCATTCTATGTTGCATTTCCCTCTTCTGTTTTCTGTCTATCTTCCACTCTTAACATTTTCTCACGTTTTTGTTTTTCAATATGTTTAAGGAAAGGGAGGGTTATTTGCACGAGCCCTTCCATTTTTGCTGGTAGCTATTTTTTAACTGAAGTTGCATATGTATTGGAATGTATGAATGTTTTTTGAATTATTTTTAAGGTGGTTGCTGTCCTGTGAATAAATGTGCTAAACCATAGTGTATATGTTGCAGGATGATTTGAAAAATGACATTTTGTATCATTGTAATCAGTGACATAGATAAGGGGGGAATGGGGGATATTCCTTTTCCCTCATGACAAGGTAAATTTTAAAAAGATCAGAGGGACAAGGAAAAGAAAGAAGATAATAGGACCACCTCCCACACTAAAATATTTGACCTTAATTTTGCATTTCATTCCCAAGTAAACTTGATGCCCTACCAAACATGATGCCCGTGCCCCCTTTGGTTGCAGGAAATATACTTGCATCTCGTTGCGATGTTCATTATTGAATTGAATTGCTGAGAAAAAATAATACAAATACTGCTGATTATATTTTTTTCATTTTCTTTTATTCAACTACTGTAAGAGAACATACAAAATCAAATGAAATCATTTTTTTTTCTAAAATCTGACAATGAAGGAAATTTCCAACCCCCCCCCCCCCCCCACGAGCATAGGAATTTCATTTTACATCAAACCTAAATTTAAAATAGGTAAAAGGAAACTCACTTGCTTACACATTGACTATTCTAGACAAGTTAACAACTTTTTACAAAATGCCTGAGAAAATCCTACTTTTTTTCTTCAAATTCTTGACATGATAACATGATGATCCAAACGACAGAATGCTTTCTAAATCTCAGAATTTCTTTTTCAAAGCTATTTGATGTACATTTGTATATTAAAAAGGTTAGATACTAAATTCAAGATTATTATTTGAATAACTTGGTGCATTTTGGCAGGAATGTTAAAAAAGGACACAGAAAAGAGTACATGGGACTGTAGTGGAAATTTTACACAAAATAGGCATACAAAAACGCTTTTATCTTCGTTATATGCCTTATTTAGGGATGGAGACATTCATAATTGGTTTTAGCACCTTCCATTACCCCTATATAGAGTGTTTTCGTGTGGTTGCATGAGGTGCCCCACGAAAATTGAAAACTAGCCACATTTTTCGCCTCCATCCCATGGTCTATATGGGCAAAATGGTCATTTTCCTCGACGACATAAATATACGAATTATTTCTTTAATTTAGTCAGCATCATAGCTATATATTTTAATGCAGGCGCGGAGCTAGGATCTTATTTTAGGGAGGTGCGGTAGTGAGCAAGAGAATAACTTAAAAGCGCGCTCATTAGGGGGGGGGGGGGGTGTGGGTGATGGGCCTCCCGCGCGGAAGCTTAGAAGTTTCCTTAAATTATTATAAAAAAGAAGACGATTTGCTGTACCGTTCTCGACTGTTTATCCTTTTCTGAATTCAGTTTCCCCCTCTCGCGCGAAGCGCGAAAGCTTTGACGTTTCCTCATATCATTAGAGAAAGAACACGATTCGTTGTACCGTTTACGACTCTAAATAAGCCCTATTCATTTTGTCTGAATTCAGTTTCCCCCTCTCGCGCGAAGCGCGGAAGCTTTGACGTTTTCTTCAATTATTAGAGAAAGAAGACGATTCGTCGTACCGTTTTCGAATCTAATTAAGCCCTATTCATCTGAATTCGGTTTCCCCCTCTCGCGTGAAGCGCGAAAGCTTCGACGTTTCCTCAAATTATTAGAGAAAGAACACGATTCGTTGTACCGTTTTCGACTTTTTATAAGCCCTATTTGTCTGAATTCAGTTTATCAATCTCGCGCGAAGCTTTGACGTTTCCTTAAATTATTAGAGAAAGAAGACGATTCGTTGTTTTGTCTCGACTCGTCTAAATGAAGTTTCCCCTTCCGCGCGAAGCGCGGAATTTTTGGTGTTTCATCACAATATAAAGAAAGGAAGACGATTTGTCGTTCCGTTGTTGACTCTTAAACCTTGTTTGAATTTAGTTTCCCCGAAAATTTTAAACCTCTGATTTCTTTAGCTGATATTATAGGAAAGTGAAACTTCGTGAAAATACCAGTATTGTAGTTGTAGTCACTCTCGAAGTCGTCATTAGAAGTCACAGTTCGTAGGGAAAAAAACTTGTCGGCCGACCGACGAATATATCTCACCGACTTCAAACTTCTGCATTGATATAGTACACGAGGATCGAGCAAGAATACTGACACAGCTGACCCGAAACGGCAACATATTTACCCGTGTCTTTCTTGCTCCCTCGACGAGACGACTCCACCCAACAACCCCCTTCTCTCTTTTACTCCCACTCCTCCTCTCTCAGACTCTTACCTCCCCTCTCTCTCCTCTCTTTCATCCCCCGTTTCTTTTGTTTCCCTTTCACTCCTTTTTCTTCTTTTTTCCTTTTCGTTCTTTTCTTTCTTTTCCTTTCTTTCCTCTCCTCCCTCTTCTTCTTTTTTCTCTTTCTTTCTTCTCTTTTCTTTCCTTTCTTTTCCTTTCTTTCCTTTCTATTCCTTTCTTCTTTTCTTTTCCTTTTCTTTTTTTCTTTTCTTTCCCTTTTCCTCTCTTTTTTTCCCTCTTTTTTTCCCTCTCTTTTTTTCCCTCTCTTTTTTTTTCCGTCTCTTTTTTTCCCTCCCCCTTTTCTTTTTTTCCCGACGGCAGCGCAATTTTACCGACAATATCCTGACAGGTGGGGGGGGGGGGTTTCGCACCCCCCCCCCCCCCACACCCCCACCCCCTTTGGCGACGCCCCTGGAGTAGTAGTCGGACTCGTATCAGCAACCGTAGTAGGGGTAGGCATTGCCATCGACTGGAAAACTATGTTCAATGAATACACATTTGTTGAATAAGTAGAAGAAGTTGATGAATAAAGAGATTCAAACATATTCTACACATGCCCGATTTTAGAATATGACATGTTTTATTATTGATGGCTCATAATACCACGCAAATATCACATACGACCAAATATTTATGCTGCGTCGGGCAATCAATATTTTATACGTATAATGTAAACCTGGCCCGCGTGTTCTCTGTCGCGTATTCGATACATGCAATCATGGAGACGGTTAAAGGACCATGAATTTCTAAAAGTGGATGGATAAGACTAAACTTTTCGATGAAATCATAAAAGTTATTCAAACACAAATTCTGCCATAACTCCGATTATTTTGTTCAACATGACAAGATGCATTGTAAAGCGAACATCGATACCAGTATGAAATAAAATATTATATTATATAATATAATATTAAAATTTATAATCGGTAAGTGGTATGACTGAGAAACTACAGTTACCATGTACCCATTTACCTCACCAGGGTGGAGAGTAGCAATATACGGATTAGAGTCTTACCAAAAGGAGCTGGGATTCGATTCCACAACCCTTGAATTGAGAGTCAAGTGACTCAACCCCTATACTACGATACTTCCACAATGTCATGTTTTGCTCTATCATCGAATAGTAATGAATATAATTTATGTTTCTTATTAAATAGCATGTCTCAATGCAATCAAGTACCTGTGTCGCAGTTTTTGCCCGTGAATCCGTCCATACATTCACACCGATAGTCAGTCTCATCGAGAGCATGACAAGTCGCTTGTACACAAGGATTATCCAGACACGGGTTTACTGTAAGAAAATAAAAACAAATTATTGCGAATCGTACAGTTAATTTGATACGTCAATGTTTAAGCTATAATATCAGATTAAATATAGTTTATCAAATACACGAGAGGGAATTTTTCTTTTGCGTTGTTACCATTCGAGACTGAAGGGACAATTAGTGAAGTTATACGACACTTGACCGTGGGACAATGGCCCAGCATCAATTTCCTACAATGATAAAACTCTTAACTCCCACCCTAGACCCCAAACTATTCCTAACCCATACCAGGGGAGTGGCCAGAGGGTGTGTGTGTCGGTTGGAGGGGTGCGATTCCCCCTCCTACCATGCAGGACACTGTCGGTAATGTTGCACTGCCGTTGGGAAAAATGAAAAAGGGGGGAGGAAAAAAATGAGAGGGAAAGAAAATGAAAAGAAAAAACGGAAAGGACACACACAATAAAAGGGAAAGACAAGAGAATAAAGAAAGAAGGAGAAAGGAGAGGAAAAAGGGAAAAGAGAAGACAGGAAAATAATTAAAAGAAAGAAAAGAAAGAAAAGAAGAAAGGGAAAACAAGTATAAAAAAGAGAAAAAGAAACAAAAGAAACGGAGATGAAAGAGAGAGGGATGGGGGTAAGAGCGTGAGAGAGGAGTGATGGGAGTATTAAGAGAGAGAAGGAGGGGGGGGGGGGTTGTTGGGTGGAGTCATTTCGTCGAGGGAGCAAGAAAGATAAGCATAGATTTGTTGATTTGTTGGGTCAGCTGTGTTGGTCGACCGGCCAATTATTTCTTCCTACGCGCTGTGTCTTTTTATCCACTGTGACAACTTCGAGAGAGACTACAACTATAATACTTGTATTTTCTAGAATCATTGTCAATTGTCAACCTTTCTATAATATCAGCAAAAGAAAAAGGGGTTCAAAAGTAGCTTCAATGAGCTTCGAACCCGGGAGATTTGTGTACACGCGCAGCGCTTTTTCCGATCAAGCCAAACTGAATAGTTGCATGCTAGAGTTGCATATTTTTGTTATAAATTATAGGTACGGTGCTGACTTGTCTTGAGGAAATAAACCGTTTATTTATGAAGTCAAGGAAAATGAGC